CGAAGGTTTGAATCGACTTGTTGTCGACTTAGGACCCACACTAACATACTCACATACACATTCATCTAGAATTTTTATGAATATACTCCTTTGGTTTTTTCTTCAAATTGAAAAAATAAGTTTTTAATACACGTACTAGCCAGTCATTTTTTGATTGAATTTATCATTATGTCATGTTCTACTTTTCTGTTTATATAATGGCTTCAATTAAAATGGAAATAAAATTAAAAATTTAAACGCCATGGCCACACCTTAGGCAATACTGGAAATCGGCTACATTACAACTTACTCTCGTCAATCGAATATGTATGAGCAATAAAGATATAAGCATATATATAATATTTATTGCTAAATTATAGTTTTGAAAGTACATAGCAATTGCAATAAGGATTGTTACCCATGCACATATGAATTTGTATACACAGCTTGCTGCAAAGAAAATTGCATATTTCTTCATAAAAATTGTAAATTTATGCTTGTATAAATATATGCATACATTAATAAGTAGCGCCGGTAACAAGTTTTGAAAATTATAGTTTAAAAAGTGTTGAAAGAATTAATCTTACTTATTTTCAAATAATTTTTTTTTTATTTGCGCTTTTGAAAAAATTAATAAAATTAATTAATTTTACAAAACAAACTCCTCCATCCGCTCAGTCCAATTTCGGCATACTCTTTTCAACATTTCGGCCGGTATCTCACGAATTAATGCTTCAATGTTGTCCTCCAATGCGTCAATTGAAGCGGGCTTGTCTGTAAAGACATTAGATTCAACATAGCCCCAAAAAATAGGCGTTAAATCGCACGATCTAGGCGGCCAATTGACCGATCCCGAAGGTAAAATACAATGTTCACTGAACTCTCTCCTCAATAAGTCGATTTTGAAGAGTGCTGTGTGGCATGTGGCAACGTCTTGTTGAAACCACATGTCAAGCAAATCAAGCACTTGAATTTTGGTCAAAACAATAGTACGATATCATCTAACGGTAGCGCTCACCAATCACAGTTGCGTTACGATTTGCATAATCTTTGAAGAAGTACGTTCCAATGATGCCACCAGCCCATAAATCGCACCAAACTGTGACCTTTTCTGGATGGATTGGTAGCTCTTGCAATGCTTCTGGCTGATCTTCACTCCAAAATCGGCAATTCTGATTGTTTACACACCCATTAAGCTGGAAGTGAGCTTCGTCGCTGAGCACCATTTTTGGATAAAGGAGCTTCATACTTAAATCTTTTCACAAAATTTTCCATGTTGTTGAGTAACAGAGGCCCAATGGCTGCGAACGGCGACGAATCGATACTTGTTGGTCATGATTAAGACTGTCCGATACAGCTGCGATATTTTCTTCAGTTCGCACTCTACTTAAGCGTATTGGTTTTTCAATGTCCAACAATGTAAGGTCGGTGCGAAATTTAGTCACAATGGGCCGAATAGCCACCTCAGTGGGTCGATTAAACTGATTATAAAATGAATGAACTTTCTTTACAGAGCACGCATTTTGATTATAAAATTCAAAACCTTGCAAGCGTTGGTTGTTCGTAAGTCGATTCGTGGTCAAATTATTGACCAAACTGAATATGTTTAACAGTATTACCAAAGACGAAACGTGGGACAGCTGTTTAAGCCGGTGTTGCCAAAAAGATAGTAGGTACAAAATCACCCACAAGCATTTTCATGCGGCTTCTTACTTCTTCAAGCAGCTTAACTACAGTTTGTTGGTTAGCAGCGGAGCCTCAGGGCTTTGAAAAATGTTGAGAAACTAGAAAAAAAAAGAATTGATTGTAAATAATATTATAATTCGTGGTTGCAAAAATAGAGGATTGTATTTTGACATCTGTCAAATTAAACTGTGAAGCCAAAAATATTTTATTTTAGTTAAAATTAAGGCATTTCAGAAAATAGATCGCTTAACCGCGAACCACGAAAATGATGATTCATCGGAACCATGCTTCCTGTTTTAAGGAGAGCTTCTCAAAAGGTGAGACTTTCTTGCGCCGTATTATGGCGCAGTTTGCACCTGGACTTACACCTACCTTCATATTAAGTTTAGCTCACACAACAAACGAAGTCAGCTGACCATTCACATCTGTCATGTCATGGCTGAGATTTCCTAGAATAAGTGTCAAAAAGTTGTCGAAAATCAACTCAAATGAAAATGAAATTTCCATAAATTTTGCGAGACGCATGAATGATGTATCATTTGACATACGTGTACATATAATGCCGATTTTCATATATATTTTAAATACATTTTATGTAGCTACAAAAACTATTATGGATTTGGGTAATCGCTTTTAGGCTCAATTTAAAGATGGCCACACGCTTTATATGGAATTTATTCAATTGCTAATTTTTGGGTTAAAGTGATTAGTATTTGGCCAGTTATTTTTTTATATACTAAGATGTGAATAAATATGTAAGCAACTGCCACCATTAAAGGTTATTCGACGTTCAGTACTGAGGTTAAACCGTCTAATAAGCGTGTGTGCTCAATTGAAAATTATAATTCAACTAAGGAATACGTGAACTCGAAAGTGATTTTACTTATAAGCCGATGCTAATGCAAGTATGTATGTATGTACGAGTACGTTCGTACGATTGTTATTTATTGATGTATATTAAGTGCATACAAGTCAATAAAAATGCAAGCCTCCGGCAATGATGCATAAACATGGAATATTTACCGCTTATCTCACTTTCGTTTCTCCACTTAAATAAAATTACGAACTCACATACGTACGAATAAATTTTTATGAATGGTTGTGAGGTATAAGTAAAATAAAATAAAACAAAATAATATAAAATAAAATAAAATAAAATAAAATAAAATAAAATAAAATAAAATAAAATAAAATAAAATAAAATAAAATAAAATAAAATAAAATAAAATAAAATAAAATAAAATAAAATAAAATAAAATAAAATAAAATAAAATAAAATAAAATAAAATAAAATAAAATAAAATAAAANGCCAGTCACCATCCGCTTCAAGAATGGGTCGAGTTCGTTCCGTTTCAGCAGCATATCGCAGGCGTTGATTCGGTCCAGAAGGTTTTTTTGCGTCAAATTATGCGGCACCCACACATCAAACTTTTTTTTGTATCCAACCTTCTGCCGATGGTTCAAATGGTTTGGTGACTAACTCCCATCTCCTGGGCGATATCACGAGATGCCATATGCCGGCCTAACTCGATGTATTCCATGATTTGATCGGTATTTGTCGTCACAGGTCTTCCGCCGGCTGGCTTATCCATTAATCTCATGGAACGTTTCCCTAGCGGATTTGCCTTTAACGAAGGAAAACTTTAAAATGGCGCGAATTTCGGCGTTAGTGAACTCCATGTTTACACGTCTATAACTGTTGAACGCAATATTCAAACTAACATGCATAGCGTTGTTTTGTAGGTTACGTCAAGACGAGCTCTGTAGCGCTTTGTACATAGCCGCTAAATTCAAAAGACGAAAAAGCGGATATATTTGACAACCTTATAATACAACTGAATGTTAAATAAAATTAGAAAATATAATATAATATAAAGTACGTTAATATAAAATTAAAGAAAATAAAATAAAATAGAATAAAATAAAATAAATTAAAATAATATTATATAGCATGATATGTAATAAATTAAAATGATATTAAATAATACAAAACAAAATAAAATAAATTACGATAAGAAATTAAATAGCAAGATAAAATATATAAATATAAAATAATATTAAATAAAATAATAAAAAATAAGTTGAAATGAAAGAAAATAAAATAAATTAATATAAAACATAATAAAATTAAGCAAAATAAAATAAAATAATATAAAACAAAATGAAATAAATTAATATAAAATAATGTAAAATAAAAATAAAAATATATAATTAAATTAATTAGAGTAAAAATTATTAAACTGAAATACAATATAACTAAGTATATAAAAAATCAAAATCAAATAAAAAAAAAATAATTGTTAAATTAAATAAAAAACTTAACTAAAATAAAATAACGTAAAGTAAAAGAAAGTACAATAGAATGAAGGTATTAGAGAATTTAAATTAAAATAAAATAAAATAAAAAATGACATTATAAAATATATATAAAAAAAAATAATATAAATTATTATAAAATAAATTAAAATAAAATTAAATAAAAAACTAATATAAAGGAAATAAAATAATATAAAATAAATTATTTTAATATAAAAAAATTGGATTCATAAAATAAAATTAAATAAAATAAAGGAAAATAAATTAAAATAGAATAAAATAAAAAAAAAATAAGTAAATGGAAAATGAAATAAACAAAATTAAAATGAAAATTAAATACTATTATTTAAAATAAATTAAAAAAAAATAAATTCTAATAAGAAAATTAAATAAACTGAAATAAAATAAAAGAAAATAAAACAAATTAAATTAAATTAAGCAAAATTAAAATAAGTTAAATGAAAAATATAATTATTATCATGTGGGCATTTATTTAAAAACAGGAGATATAATGACAAGTTTGCAAAAATTATACATCAAATTATACGAAAATGGGATTTCTTATTACAGCTGAAGTTTTAGAGAATGATCAATATTACTACCCAATTATCCAGGCAGTTTAAGCTTATACTATTAAAGTTGTGTAAAAGATTATGAGGTGAATAAATCATTTCAACGATTGTGTCACGATTTTAATTTTGATTCCAGCACCTTCGACCTGTCATCATTTTTAGCAACAAAAAAATATTCTTGCTGCTCTCAAGAATTAAATTTTAATTTTCTTGAATTACTGAATTTCTACTCTAAATAGTTTTAAATCATTTCGGCAATGAACAAGCACTTGCCAATCATGGTTCGACAAATGCTGTACGTTTGCGGATGCCGCTCCTCGAGCTGATTTATTTATTATTATTATTGTTGTTATTATTGTTAGTATTATTAAAAAAAAATGCTTGTAACATGTAATCAAATATTTGTTTTAATTAGCCACTAAAGCAGTTTTAATCTAAATTTACAGTTGGTTAAACGGCCATAGCGTATTATTTATCGCAATAAAAAACACCCTGCTGTCATACATTCTGTCACTAGTGCCATAAACTAAATTGCGGCTGTCATATAAAAAGCGATTTGTCAAGTGTACCGCAGTAAACGAATAGTGATCGAGTGCTTTGGCAGTAAAATGGGGCGCGCGCGCAGTAGTTTCTTAGTAACAGTACTATTCATAGCGGGAAATTTGCTTTTTTGCGGTATAAGGCATGCGCACTCACTTGCGGTTCGATCGAATTTGAAAATTGTCAAGCAATGGAAATTATTCTCATACGAATTTCCCCCCCACGCGCCTGTCTCCGATCCCGACTACTACAACCCGACGAATATAGTGCCAACAAGCATGACAGTGGCGTATGACCGGATATTCATCGCCACGCCCAAGCTATTTGCTGGCGTACCAACAACTGTGGGCTACGTGTCGAAGTCGGACTTCAACGAGTCGCCGCGTTTGAATGTAAGCTCACTCAGCGTGATAAATTTGAAAAATTTTACATAAAAAAATAATTCAATTTGCGTTTATTGCTATAAAATAAGTATTAACTTAAAATATATTATTTTCATGTATCTCATAGTCATACCCCGACTGGTCGTACACAGTCAGTGGTCGCAAGTCTTTCAACTGCAGCGATTCATATTTGGTTTCGGTATATCGCATGCGTATCGATTCTTGCAACCGCTTGTGGATCTTAGATGCTGCCGTGTCGCGCACCTTTGAAGACTCCGAACAAACTTGTCAACCGAAAATATTGGTATTCGATTTGAATACAGATCAAGTGGTGAGGCGTATCGATATTCCGGTGAGTGTTTGACAATGTTGAGTAGTGTGCATTCGAATTTAAATATTAACGGTATTTTCAGAAAGACGTTTTGCGGAATCAATCGATACTTGTTAATTTGATTGTAGATGAAACCACTTCTACATCTGGTACATGCGATGATGTCTTTGTTTATATAGCGGATACGGTGAAACCGGGTAAGTCACGGACTAGGGATTAAGTTATAAAATAATAATTGGGGCATTACAACCGCTGTAGAGAATTTCTGCTGAGCTCTACCCGTAAATTTCACTGATAATGGATTTTCATGCCAGAAATATACTCGTAGATGATAAGATTCCTTACTTTTTGTGATATCAAACCCTTTGAAATTACTTTATTAGCCTTGCCTTTAACTTTTATTACGATCGACTGAAACGGAGACGAGAAAACGCAAAATAGGTGAGAGTAGGTCAGACGAAATTCCACCATCGGGTTTCGGCATAATTAACACCCAATACATATATTTAGTGAAAGGCAAATTACATATGGAACGATTACAATGCCATTTAAGACTATTTCTAAGTGGTTCCGAAGACTCTGCACCGGACCTGAGAAGGTCAACCGAAATCTTTCACTGATGACGTTGCTGTAGCTTTGGGAAGTCTGAAATTGAAAAAGATCCACGATTGACACAAGAAATTATTACTAATAAACTGAGTTTAAATGCCATGACTGTATCACGAATATTAAGTAATCAACAAAGATACACCAAAATATCTGCTCGATGGGTACCGCGAATTTTAAATGAGGCCCAAAAAAGAGGCTCGAGTGCATTTTGCTTAATTTTTCCTAAACAAATTCGAAAATGGTCAGCCTAGCAAATTCAGTAAAGTCGATACTGGTAACGAATCTTGGTTCTATAAGTACGATTCAGAAACCAAACAGTAGTCCATGGTAAGGAGTCCAACAGGAGCAAGCAACCCATAAAATCTAAGCAACAAAAATCAACAGCAAAAGTAATGATGTCAGCTTACTTCAACTCATCTAAAATCATCGCTGCTACTTCACTGGAGTCAGAAGGTGACTGGAAAATGGTACACCGAAAAGTGGTTACCAAAAGTTTTCAAAAATTTGTTGGAAAACTGGAAGAAAGAGGATTTGCGGCGCTCCTTCTTACATCATGACAACGCGCCATCCCACACAGCTGAATTTACGAGTAATTTTATAGCGATCTCTGGGATCAAAGAACTACGTCCAGCACCAATACGGTGCCCTGGATATAGCATCTTTTGAAATGTGGTTTATTCCAAAAAAAAAAAAAAAAAAAAATGTAAAAGGTATGGTCATTAATAGCAACGAGGAGATAATTCATTGAGTTAGTCCTGAACGTGATGAGCTTAAAAAGCAATATTTTGAATACTGTTTTCAGAAGTGGATCGATAGGCTTAAGAAATGCATTGAAATCAATGGCGAGAGCAGAGATTACAAATAAATACAAAATGAATTTTTTGTTCTTGTTTTTTCTACTCAATTTACCGAACTTTTGTTAATCCTCTGTATATCCTACACCTCACTCTTCCTGTCTCTTGCTTCTTTCTTCAACTCAATTTTCTCTCCGATATAGCGCGTTAACGTCGATCCCTACATCGCGATATAGGCATTTTGTTTCATCTCCAGCGCGGTACGGCAGTTCTGATCTTACCAACTCTTGTTTTTAACTTGTCGAAAAACAGTAAATAAAAAAGTTAAGAAAACATACATTGCTGTCGCTCCTCGGCAGGGAATGCCGACCCCCGGGTGTATTTGGAATATAATAAAAAGCATCAGCCATTCGGAGGTGGTTTGCACAAACTGTAGCTCAATCCATTAGTTGATAAACCAACAAGACGCAAAACCACAAATTGAAGGAGGAGCTCGGCAGAAAATCGCTTAAGCGGTTACAAATATAATATATATAATAAGATACTGATCCTCGGAGCATACGCACTTCAAGAACACTGAAGTTGTGTCTTCCATTCTTTCATCCGTCGGCCTTCATGTAGTCGAAAGTGTCGACAAAATAATGGAAATCGTGGAATCTGAATTTCCGTCTGTGATCGCTGCTGATTCGTAATAAAATCGACCAATTTCTGAGGCGTATGGTAACCGGTGATGAAAAGTGGATCACTCTTACACAAAAACCGTCATTGAGCCGTCTCGAAGCAAGGATTGAAAGGCGGGAAAGGCTTTTTTGCATGTTTTGTGGGATTGTCAAGGAATTATTGACAATAAGCTACTCAACGCTAGACCACACACATCGATAGTGACTCGCTAGAAACTTCGAGAGATCAATTCAGAGGTTCTTATATATGTGTGTCTGGACCTAGCACCAGATGACTCCTTCCTTTAGCGAATGCTTTGGATGGTAAAGAATTGGTCTCAATACAAATTACAAAATAGCGGCAAGCGTCTTTACAAATTTTGAAATTATAACATCGGGAATAATAAAAAAAAAGTATTTTTTTTTTTAATTTTGTTTCTCAGAGCTATAAATTGTATTGGCAGTTTGAAAAAACATAAAAATGTGAGTTATAAAATGTGATATGGGCATTTCCACAGACATGTCAACCGCGGCCAAAAAATTCAAAACCAAAAAAAGTATGTTGGTTTAACGTATTATTATAGGGAATTTATTAAATTTAGCTCAAGTAAACAAATTTTTTATTTGGTCATATCACAACTTGAAATATCCGAATGCAAAGTCGAACCAGTGCGAAAGTTTTGTTTTCCACATTTCTCAGCGTATTTTGTTTTGATTAATAATTTTGATGAGAGACATTTTGCATTGACATACATATGCTTTTTTTTAAATCTCGTCTTATATGTAAAGAATATAAGCAAAGTGTAAAAGGAGCGATACGAATGCCAATTACGGTAAATTTTATCATTGTTTTACCCTGCATTTCGATGGGTGCCTCTCGAGTCATTCACAGTTTCGAAGATCTTTTTCAAAGATTTTTATATTTTCTAATGGAAGCTGTGATCAATTTAAAAATAAATCTCTTTTGACAAGCTTCATTGATGTAATTTAAAAAACTGGATGTATATACATTAAATGGAATTTTTTGCCTACTTCTCATGGAAAAGGAGCCGATGTTTGAGCCGTCAAAATAGTTTTAACGGTGTATTCGTGGTATTCATTAGCTTTTCCGGACCTTATAAAGACTTTAAAATTAAGCGTGCAGAACAAGTCAATATTAGAATTCCTTTATTGAGAAATTAAATAAGTTGGCAACGATAATAACAATTCGAGGTAATAAAATTTACTTTGGCATTCAAATCTACCATTCAGTAAATTTTGTTACCATTTCGCATTCTGAGTACACTGTCACCCTGTAACTTTTGTTACCAGCGAAATAGGAGGCTGTTTGATTTTGTGTTGCAAATTTGAGAAAAAATAAAAAACCAAAATGGGTAGTCATATTTTAGGCCTGGAATTCATTGAAGATGAAGAAAAAAGTTCAAAAAGCCGTATTTTAAGTAGTTTTCGAGACTAAAACATAGCCCGTTAATTTGTAATATAACGTTTTCATGCAGCTTTTTTCAGTTTCGGGTGTTAAAAAAAGTAACAAAAAGTAAAAGCCATAAATTTTTTTAATTTTTAATTTAATAGTTCCTGAGAAAAAGACATATTTAATAAAACGCTGCATTTTTGTCAATTGCACATTGTGAATAATAAAATTAACTTTCACCGAAAATATTGATTTTGTGACTTGATACCAATAACTAAAATAGTTTTCTGTGCCTAGTTTTAAACTTCTTTCCAACATGATAGTTCATGGGCTCATTTCAGAAATTTCTACTCCCTAGCAAAATAATTTTTGTCTTGTATTGAGAGATTTATCAAATTCACTTGCATACCCGTGGTCTGTTTTATATTTTAAAAATTGGACATTCATTATTGTCTTATAAATCCTTAATATCGTATAATGTAAATTTATATTATTATTTATATTTATATAAACTTATAACGTCTTTTTTCCAGCCATTATTGTATACGATAGTGCACGTGATATGATGTGGCGTCTCTCACATCCCGCTATGTGGCCCGACCCAGACTTGGGCTTAGTACAAGTATTGAATGATAAATTCTTCATAATGGACGGCATTATTGGTTTGGCTTTTGATACAATAAATGGAATATTATATTTCCAGCCTTTGGCTACTGATCGGTAAGAGAATATTATAGTTTTTTTTTTTTTTAATTTTCGCCTAATAATATTTATCTTCTTCTCATAGCATCTTTTCCATAACCAGAGACGCACTACGCGCTGGACCACGACGTCTACATGACATTTTACCCATACGCTTTTTGGGCAAGAAATCATCCCAAGGTCTACCACTGTACTTAGCACCTCAAGATGGTAGTCTTCTCTTTAGTCCAGTCACCGAGACCGCCATCGTCAGTTGGCATCCACAAACAAATAAACAATCTGTGCTCTTCTACGATGTGGAGGCACTACAATTCGTTGCAGACATTAGTGAGTCGCCATGGGAAAGTGGCGTCGTATATGCCATGTCATCGAAATTCAATCGTTTCACATCGGAAACGGTAAACAGAGATGAGATCAACTTTCGTCTTATGCGTTTCAAGTATCCCAGCAGAAGTGCAGTGTCTTCGCAGCGATTATTCACGCCATCAGCGCCGTTCAAGAGTGATCTATACACGAATGGTAATGATACCATTTACACGAGAGCCGAAGAAAGATCATCGTCAGCAACGTACTTGCCGTATAGTTTGGATCCAAATACCAAATACTTCCAGCTGCCGAGCGCAAGAAGTAGTTTGCACACGTTTGCGGGTAATGGTATACCTGCAACGCCAGCAGCACACATACTGCCATTCGGTCGTGGTGGATACAGTTATAGTTTGGGTGTAAATTGAGAAGAGCGTACGGAAATTTTATTGCGAATTGTTAATAATATACCATTTATTATATAGAAAATATACATATGTACATACATGTAAATATTGTTCATTACTTTTAATAAAAATTTTTTATTGTGTTTTGTTAGCAAAATTAAAAAAAAAATTTAAATTAAAAAAAAATACTTTTCGTTTCATTTTTTAACTTCAATTTTGAATGTCATCTCTAAAAATGAATTTTCTCTGTCCGCGATCCAATAATTGAGCCATTCTACGATTTCTTTAAAAGAATCGAGCGGGTGATCACTAAATCGATTAGCATACATAGAGAAAGGCTGTTTTCGAAAGGGGAGTACACGTCGGGTGGAATAAGCCCTCAAACCAGGTAGATTTTGACCGTTCCAACTATGTGGAGTCGAGCGTCGCCGTGCTGCAAATCCCCTTGTCATACCATTGCACCGCTCCAACGCATTAGACGTAATCGAAACTTTTTCGCATCAATAATTTTGTCTGGCTTTAGCAGATTATAGTACACCACACTCGTCTGCAGAGCATGCTCTTTGATGTCTTTCTTTGGCGTCGGTGTAGACAATGCTGAAGTGAGTTCAAACCTGGTTAGTATTGGCATATTATATTTTCTTGGAGTTTTCAGAGTATATTCACTTTTTCATCACCAGCCATTATCCGGTCACAAAAGTTTCCTTGCTTTAACCAAATTCATTTTGTGTTTGACCAGGATCTTGATTCAGTAAAGCCCCCAATAGCGCAACTTCAAACATTTCGGGCTGGTCAGGATGCTTTTGTCTTAGGTCATTATTTTTGGAGCGTTCAAACAACTCTCTGCATTTTTTATCAAGCTTAAAGTTCCACAAACCTTCGACAAATTTAAGTTGTTTATTTAACACAAATCCGGACATTACGGTAATGGTTGTGGACAGATCTGAAACATTTCCCTTTAATTAGGTAATCGCTTGCAAGATCGGTCAAAGATTTCATGTTTTGAAATCTTTTGGGAGCGCCTCGAATTAATTTGTAACGAAAATAAATTAAAATTTATTTAATAAAATTTTTTTTCAAATATTTTGGAAACTAAATTCCATTTTTTAATTTGAAATTTTTTTCACAAAATTTTTGACATTTTTTTATAAAAATTAGAATTTTTTATGTTGACTCGATTTTTTTTATATAGATAACGATTTTTTTATAAACTATTAACTTTTTAAAAACTAGATTTTTTATTGCATTTAAATATGTTGGTTACTAATTTAACTTTTTGAAGTTTAAATTCTTTTTACAAAACTTTAAATATTTTTTTTATAAAAATTTGTATTTTTTATTGCTTTCAAAAATATTTAAATAATTTAATATATTTTTAATAAATTTTTTTTTTTGAAAAACTGAATTTTTTTTTTAAATTTATAATTTTTTATGAAGTATATTATTTATTTTATTTAGATTAGATTTTTTATATAAATATTTAACTTTTTTATAAAAAATATATTTTTATATTGCTTTCAAATATTTTGAAATATCTTTAATATTTTCTTTTATTAAATTTTTTGCAAAAATTCAATATTTTTATTATAAAATTTGGAATTTATTTTATAAAGATTATTTCTTATTGACCTTTTTTATATAAACCAAATTTGTTATTGCTTTCAAATATTTTGAAATATATATTAATAAATATAATAATATTATTTATATTTTTTTTAATTTGAAATTATTTTGCAAAAAAGTTAGAATTTTTTATATAGACTCGATTTTTTATAAATAGATAACGATTATTTTATAAAAATTAACTTTTTTTAAAAACTAGATTTTTTATTGCTTTCAAATATTTTGGTAACTAATTTAACTTTATTAAGTTGAAATTCTTTTGCAAAATATTATTTTTTTTTTTAAATTTGGTATTTTTTTTTTTTGCTTTCAAATATTTTGAAATATATATTAATAATTATAATAATAAATTAATATCGTTTTTAATTTAAAATTATTTTGCACAAATTAAATATATTTTTTATAAAAACTAGATTTTTTATTAAAATTTTTTTATAGTAACTAGATTTTTTATTGCTTTGAGAATATTTAAATTTAAAATAAAATAAAATTTCTAAAAAATGTCAAAAAAGTTTCCAAACACTCTTTTGCTTGAGCTGCTGTTTTCTTGCCATAATTCTAATATCCTGTTCTCTTACTATGCCCTCCCTTCAACACAATTCCTTCTCTTAATTCTGTCATCACTGCGCATGCCTTATCCTGTTTACAACAAATGTCTTAAATTTTTTTGCTATAAAAAGCTCTACGCTTTATCAGCTGCTTCTGTGCATCCTGAAAGTCTTACTGTAATATATATTGTGCGAACGGCACTACGAATCTTCAGTCGTTGACGGCTCTTCGATGTGCGAATAACCTGATAAACGGTAAACGAGCGAGTTAGAATTTTTGAGTTGAAAAAAAATATACATTAGTATAATAGAAAAAAAATTAAAGTGAAAATTTAAATCATTAAAAATAGCCAGAAATATATGCAAACGGTACTTTCGCGTCGGTATCAATTGAATTCGTGCCGGTCCGGTTCGGTAAATAAAAATTCATAAAAAGTTGCTTGAATAATTTAATATACATAATTCACATAGCAATTCCGTGTCTGTTTGTGACTTATACGCCTTAGCAAATATTTTGAACGTAAAGTAATCAGAATCTGTGCTCGAGGTGTGTTTAAAGTAACTTTGGTTATACTGCTGCTTTTTTATTAGTATTATTCAGTATTATTATTGTAAAGTAAATGCAGCAACAAGTCGAGAATACGTAAAAGTATGTCAATATGCCTGATGAAGTGAAAAGTGGAAAATAAACAAAAATTAAAATATTGAAGAAAATTCGTTTTTTTTACTTTTATTATTTTTGTCTTAATTTACTATGGAGTTACGATCCCGAACATAAATTTGCAACAACTCAAATTCGGAAAGTCATAAAAAGTGTTGGGGCTCAAAAAAAAAATGCCCGAAACTAAATAATTATTTTAATTCTTTTACATCTAAATAAAAAGTTGCCGGATTCATTCCAAACTAGACTCTCCTTACGGAACTTCTATTGCAAACATTTTTCAAAAATCTAAAAATCAATAAAGGAATAGTTTTTTGGGTATAGAATACTCCTCTCCATCTTTATTATAGTTTTTCATATTTTCTAAAACGACCTATCATGTGCTTGTTGGTGAAAAATTCTAAATTACAAGTAAAGGGTGATCCATTTCAAGCTCACCTACTTAAAAAAAAAAACACAGAAAAATCATATTTAATGGAGAATGTTTATTATCATTCGAAAGTACATTCTTTGACATTTATATTTTCAAATGCTAGCAGCGGCTATGTCTCACATGGTTCCTCCGTTGAGTTCCTTTTTTTGATGACTCGTTCGAGCATTTCGACTTAAACTTTAGACGTTACACAACCCCAGAGGAAAAGGCCTAACGGTGTGATATCATACGATCTTGGTGGCCAATCGATTTTTTATGGTCGCCATTCAGGGATACTTTTCCACTCTGATGAAGCCCTACAAAACATTTGTTTTTATCTGGATGAAATGTCAGCTCTTAAATCTCTTCAGGTTGGTTTTTGTCTCAAATGCGACAATTTTGCTTGCTTACATGCCCATTGTCGGATTTTCTTGGAACTTTTCAAGACCCCATAGACTAAAGCGATGTCGCTTGGGAAGGTCAAACGATCCTCGTGTATACTCTCAGCTACGGCCGCTATGATTTCTTCACTGCGTGCTGGAGGCTCTTCGATTTCAGAGGCGCTTGAGCCATCGCCATTTAGAGCACGATTCTTTGACAGCTCGAAAACAGCAATCAAACGCATTATAAAACTTTTTGCTCAAAGCTGAGGTGAAGTCGAATTGACTAACTGAAGTTGGAGTCTAACTTGCATTTGAGTGATCCCAACTGAGTGATTGGTAGCTTTTCTTGGAAAATATGTGGCCTTATTCAAAACTATAGAACCCAGTTCGGATAACTTTTTGAATAGTTTTGTTGGACTTTGGTAATTATTAAGTTATTGCTAGTAATAAAGGTTGCTATTGAAGACGTCTTATCCAGAGGAGACTACATAAAGTGACCACATGATTTAATTCTGACCAAAAGCAATGCTCTGAAATTTTCTTCATTCTCTACAGGAGTTGTGCTAAACAGCATTGGACCACCAACTCTGTGCTCAAGGAACGGAATATTTCATATGTGTCCGAAGGGATTTTTAAATGCGATAGAGATTCAAGGTTCCTTATTTTCGTGTTCTCTGAATCATAAATTTTTACTTCTGAAGATTATGGTAATTTCTCAAAAAGCCCTTAAAATTCAAATATAACACTCGTCAGTAAAAAAAATATAACTAAAAATATATCCAGCATTTCAGTATCAGAAATTTCATAGTTTTTTCCAAATGATTCCAAATCAAATTACCTAACTCGGTTTATTTTAAATGTAATATTTTTAGCAGTTTATGTATAAGCAACTTAGGAACCGTAGTGCTCTTCTGGACTCTTTTTCTTAATTTCCCAAAACCACGGAATGATCTCCATATTTTTTCATTTCACGCAAAATATATTTTAGTCTATTGCAAATTTATGTTTTTAAGGTTTATGTAGTTCTCTTGCCTATCCTTCTTTCCGATCTTCTTGAAGTAGACAGTTGTTGATTGGTTGGCTGAAGTGGTTGCTGGGCATTAGCACACCTACTCCCAAAGCGTGCCCATTGTGATACCACTGAGGATTCTAATGACCCCTTCCCGCTAATCGAACAGACAGTTGTTGGTTAAACTACCGATTTCTCTTTGTCCAGCATTATCCACCTCCCACCTGAGACCTTGCCACACCTGACTCATACACTGAGCAGTTACAGTTACAGAGGAATCGATGCTGGCGGAATGGGTATTAAAATCGTTGCACAAACATCAGAATGGGGTCAACCATTTCAATGTTTGTTCTGCATGAATACAATAAAAGTGGCCTAAAGTGTCTAGGTTACCCTAAAAGGATGACAAAGTAAAGCTCAGAAAGTAAGAATGGGCTATTAATATCGGCTCTAATGAATTCACTTCCAAGGATGATTTATGAGCGTAGGGAGAATCTTACTAACACCAATGTGTAAATTTCTTAACGCGAATCACTATGCAATTGAAAGCGTGGACTCCATACAGTTGAACTATATTCTAAAATTGGTCTAACAAGAGACGCAAAGAGTAAGGAAGTTAAGACGCCTTTTGCGTTGTTGTTGTTGTTGTAACCGCAAAAAATATCCAACAAAGTACTTTTTTGGGAATGCTGCGGGAGTGCCAGTCCTTGGCCGGATAAAAATCCGGGTCGTTCCGGTATAAAGACCCGACTGTCGCCTCTTACGATAAGGGTGCCTTACCACGGGTAAATTCTTGAATCCTTAACCCGCAGGAGGTAGCTTAGTGGCTTAGTGTGACACCTAAAGCTATGAAGTCAATAACTTGTTCAATATTGTGATTACGTATCATACGAAGGGATTAACAAAAGTTCGGTAAGTTGTCCGAAAAAAAGAAAAAACTGCAGTCAACTGACTTCTTTACTTTTGCGGCTCCTGTATGGTATGTGGATTGTACTTTTAGAACCAAGATTCGTCACCAGTTGCGACTTTGTTGAGGTCGTTAGACTGACCATCTTCGAATTTGTTTAAGAAAAATTGAGCAAAATACATTCGAGCCACTTTTTGGGCTACATTTAAAATTCCTGGTATCCATCGAGCAGATTTCTTTATATAACCTAGATCATCGCCTAATATTCGCGAATCAACCTTGGTATTCTAGCCCAAATCAATAGCAATCATTTCTGATGTCAATAATGGCTCATCGTGTATTTTGGACTTTACCAGTGCTACAGAGACGGCATCAGTGGAAGATATTGATAGACTGGAAAAATTTTCGGACTGGAAACACTTAGAAATAGCCTTCAAAGACGGTGCAATCATTCCATATGCAATTTGGTATTCACTGAATAATTGTATTGGCTGTAAATTATGCCGAAATCCGAAGAGTATCAAATGGCGAATTTCTGTTTGCGCTGGTGGTGGAATTTCGTCTGACCGATCCTCAGATATTTTACGTTTTCTCGTCTCCATTTCAGTCTGATATAGCAATTGCAAAGGATTTGGTGTTAACAAAAGCAAATGGAAAGTCACCAACTGACCGAATTTAGGCAAGGGATTATTGTCAAGATTTTCTAGACAAACGCATCATACCACCAGTATTTTCAATTTGCCAAAAGTTAAGAGCAATGCCACTTCTATAATCTTACTAGACACACATTACATTCGATGGAAGCTGTGCGCTGCTGCTCTTCTATTAGTTTACACTGCCTTTCTTTTAGTTAATCGAAGTTGAAGTTTGGGCCCTCTAACTTTGACTGATTAAAGGCCCTCCGGTTCTCTCTCACTACGTATGATGACCTTCTATCAGCCGATTGTCGGGCACTCACTGATTACATGCTCTACTATCTCATCTTCTAGGTATCTTTTAAAGGCATGCGCCACCAATAGTCAATATTCAGTGTTAATTGTACTAACGGCAAGGAGTTAGATTTTTTTTCTGCTTGTGAGAATTTAGTAAGTTTTTCAACTCTGCAGCTCCTTGGTCGCTCCCAAAGCCGTACAAGAGAGTTTATTTCGAGTTCTACAAACATATCAACGTTTTCTTCAGGACACCAGCTTTCGGCAGTTTATTAGCTGATCTCAAATATGCAGCTTCAATGCCTACATATGTATGTACGATATATATACATATATATGTATTTTTGATTTTTTTCAGCCATTTTTTATCGCTGCTCTGGTAGACGCTTTGTTTCTACTCGTAGTTTGGTAGTTAAAAGGAATGTTTGTCAGTGATTGCATGCAGTAAGCTGCAGATCCCACACTCCAACTTTTAACTCTAAAACCATCTGAAGTAGGAGCCCCGCAGTTACCTAAGTACATATGTACATATGTACGAGTATGTATAAAGAAAGCAATGCTCTTTTAATAGCAATCAACTATAATGTGCACATATACATCCTTACATAAATACATACACACATATCTGTATATGTATGTGAATATGTAAGTATTTAATGCTCAGCAAATTGTAATTCGTGCCATAGTAATTTGTCTTGCATTTAGCGAACTATAAAAGTCATTAATCAACAATTAAATGTTCATTTGTATCTTAATATTGTTTATTCATTATGACATTTGCAATCATGCCGCACACAATCTATAATCACAAAATTAACTGTAACTTCTTATATGACGCCCATTGGACAATCGAGATTGTACATACATATGTATGTTTGTATGTTTGTATGTATGTATGTACATATGTCAGTATTGTTTATTTTGTTTACAAAACGAATTTGTTTGCTTCGGCGACAGCGCAAAAGTCAATTGTCCCCTTCACTAAGCAATAATACCATTTTTGCAGCATACAAGCAGATACTTATACCTATGTACATATGTATCAACATATGTATGTATATGCATGTTTGCAATGTCGATGGTCTTACGAGCTGCAAAATGATGTAAACATACATATATACGTAAACGTGAACTTGTGTCATATAGTACAAAGAGGCCATGGAAAGGTTGCACTTTGCGGTGGTAATATTAAACAAACGTACATATGTTTGTCCAGTTTCATATGAATCCATTTTCCATAGGTTGT